ATCTCTCTCTCTCTCTCTCTCTCTCTCTTTCTTTCGTTATTTCTTTCTTATGTATTTATTATATTTCTTTGATTGTTTGCTTTTTTCTTTCTTTCTGTCTTTCCCTTTTTCCTTTGTTTCTTTCTCTCTTTCTCTCTTTCTTTCTTTCTTTCTTTCTTTCTTTCTTTCTTTCTTTCTTTCTTTCTTTATTTCTTTATCTTTCTTTCTTTCTTTTTTTTACTTATGTCTTTCTTTTCGTTCTTTCTTTTTATCTTTCTGTATGTTTTTCTTTCTTTCTTTCTTTCCTTTTTTCTTTCTTTCTCTTTCTTTCTTTCTTTCTGTCTTTCTTCCTGTCTTTCTTTCTGTCTTTCTTTCTTTCTTTCTTTCTGCCTTTCTTTCTTTCTTCCTCCCTTCCTTCCTTCCTTTCTTTTCTTTACATCTATCCTGCCACGCGATTTGCACATCCGAAGCAGTCTGTGCGGCCGTGCCATTGGGGAACTTTTCGAGCCCGTGGCGAAACCGTGGCGAAACCGAGGCATCCTTCGCGTGTTTCGCATGTCTAAGTCCACTTTTCGTATTACGGAAGTTTTCTAACTAAACTTCCTTTGATCACACAACATGACTTTAGCCCCAGGCTGAGCTGCACCGGCGCTGGGGTCAGTGGACTTGACAGCGACACGCTGCCCGGACAGCTTGCCGACTGCCATGTCCACTTTCCCGTAGCCGCCCTCGCCAAGCCGCTTCACGATCTCCAAGTCGCGCAGAGAACGTGGAGCAAGGCCTTGCAAGAGCAAGGCCAAACTTGGAAGAATGAAACGAGGGCTCAACATGAAGAAAACAAGAGGAACGTGAGACTACGAGAGAAGAAAAGTGATTCCCCCAACAGCACGTGACACTTATCTCTCCTACACAGGCTTGCCATTCCGAACACTTTTGAATTCTTGCTTGCTAGCACCCTTTTACACCTCCCTCGCTGCGCATTTAACCACTCTTGTTCCCCTCCACATTCCCGCGACGCGTTGCGAAGGGTTAGGCAGGAAAGTTATGGAGCCGATTGCGCAATTCAAGCGCTGGCAAGTTGCGTTCGAAAGTAGCGTTGGGGCAGTTGCAGTAGCAAGTTACGCTGGTAGGCGGCGCACGGCCCATCCTCCAATGCCGACTATGTCGGCCTCTGCACACGCGTCGGCAGCTGCTAGAGCTTGGAGTCTGCAAGGCTGTGCAATTGGTTGGACGGGCGAGTGCTGGAAGCATGATCCGAGCCAGGCCAAACAGCGCTGGCTGAACTTGGAAAGGCTAGTGTGTGGGTTTGACGGGTCCGAGATCCTAACCCGCGTGAGCTTGCTGGCGCTGGGGATGGGCGTCACATCCTGCACACAATGCACTGGCTGGCCATTGACTTCTAAGAGCTTGGATCCTTCTGAGATCCAAGGCCTGGTTTTGAGGTCACGGCTCAAGCAGGCTCGAAATGCTGACCACGTCTGAGGTGGTATGGAGCGCATTGAACCTGGAGGGCTATTAAGGTCTGCATATAAAGGCGCGAGCCACGACCTGAGATGCAGCGCGATGCTTCTCGCCCAGATGAGAAGGCCAATAGTTTTTCTGAGCACTCGCTTTTGTGACAGCAGTGGTGCTGCGATAGCACAGAAGAAGAGCAGAACCAGTGCGAACATTTCCTGGGCACTTTCGCGGATGAGTGCGCACAGGAGGTCGTCAACAAAAAGGAAGGCTTTGTGTGGTTTCCATGCTAACAGCCCATGTATTTGTCGCAGCAAGAAGGCGCCAGTGCGTTGCCACCAGTAAGCTGAGAACCGGCAGTGGTAGAGTTTGTTTTGAAAGGCGAACAGCACAAGGCCACGCTCCTCGCGGCGCACCTCCACTTGCTTGTGCGCGGCTTTGAAGCTAGGCTGGCGCCTATGAAGGGCCCTGGCGGGTCTTCTGGATGGGTAGACAGGGCCAGGTCCGATGCCATTGGATTGCTGAGGCGTTCTGGCAGGCAGCATCGCGTGTTGACCTGGCACACTGTGCTGTCCAGGACAAGGCGTGGTTCTTTTCCTTCTGCAAAGACCACGTTCAATTTTCCTACGGCAACACTACCCAATTGTTGGAAATTTCTTCATCGAGAAGGCTTTGCACGACTGCGGGCTCTTCCTCGGCTGTCTTCCAGTTACCTTCGCAGACCTTGAGCTCGGGCTTGTCCGAGGCGCTTGGTGGCTTCTCTGGCCACTGCGTACTTCGAGGCAAGGCACTGACGGCACCTGTGGGGACTCCGTCTTGCAGAAACTGCAACACAAGGGCACGTCAGGGTCACCCCATGATTGCGCAATGGCACGAAGCAGGTGCAGTCGGAACGGCTGTCCTGGCTCTGGGCCAAGGCTTGAAGGCAGGGGAGTTTGGAGAGCAGTGTAGGCAAGTTTGACCGCTTCCAAACTTTCCGTACGGGAGAGCGGGCACTCTGGAAGGCCCTGCGTGACGTGCGAAACAATGCGCGAGACCATGTTATTGCTGCGCAGCCACTGCAACCACGGTGTCTGCAGTGGGTGCGATGGCTGTGGCTGGGACCAGTCTGCCGATGAATGGAGGCCTGCTCCATCGCACACCGGCTGTCTGTGGGGCGAGAGGCGTGGCGGCCTTGGAACGGAGGCGGGCAAAGGCAGCGCCTGCTTAACAGTTCCGGTCTTGGCGATTCGCCCCGTTCCCACTGCGGCCAGTTGGCGGGCAAGTGAAGGTGGGTACTCTGCTGTAAGCGAGCTAAGGTACACACCGTTTTCACGGACCCCAGCGATGCTTGGATGTTTGAAGGTGTGGTTGCAGCGCGCCATCAGGGCAGTGATGCGTGGGCTATTGCTGCCGAAAGCCCACGACTTTGTGAAGGTCTTGCCGTGCTGGCAGGCGTCCACCCACACCAGTGTGCATTGGTGCTCACGGAGCATGTGGAAGTTGGCGGCTTCCAACCAGGACATGGACGAGGGCGGCTGCTCCCAGATGGCAAGACCTCCTTTGGAAACAACAGCGGTGAAAAGGAGGCGACCTCTTTCATGTATGGTTTTGCTGTCTTCCAGTTTTTTCAGCTGACAAGGCGAAGCCTGGCACACCGTGCATGTGCTGAGGCGTGCGCAAGGCTTTAGGGCCGCCCGGGCGCAGTTTCAGCCTAGAGTATTCTTTACAAGGCGGGGCCAGCATTATTAAGGCTACAGCCCCGGACCAACACAGCTTAAGCAGGGCTTCGAAGGCGGTGTCGTCGAGAATGTTGTGCGCCGAGTTGTGGTCAAGGTCGAAAGGCTCAAAGCAATCAAGGCCAAGCTCCACGGCCGCCGAAGTGACAGGGTGAGACCTGCCTGCGAAGACATCGAGAAGGAGCCCTTGCGGCTGTCCCGCGGCTGGCGCCGGCAAGCTGTTTGCTGGATCCTGTATGGATAGAAGTTGCGGCGCTGGCGAAGGCGGTGCGGTTGCTTCGCAAGGCTGGAATGGCAAGGCCGGCGGGGGTGTTGCGGCCCAATCCCGTGCCGGCTCAGGATCTGCTGGATCACGTAAATTTGCTGCGATCCTTGGCCGGGTGCTTGGGCTGGCAGTTCAGGATGGCGGACATGCGCGAATCGGCAGTTGTCCGAAGTGCAAAGGCCTGTCTGGTAGCGCTTGCGAATTTCGCAACCTTTGTTTGTGGTGCACCAATCTGCTTTGGGCTGGGGCCCTTCGTGGCCCCCTTGGACTTGCCTTTGCCCTTCTCTCGAGGGTGAGATGCCTCTCGGGAAGGTCTGTCCCGCTTGCGAGCTGTGTCTCGCGGCGTGGTGGCTTTGGGCGGGGGAGGCACTGGCGTCCATGCATGTCGTTGCGCATGTTTGTGATCTCGTACAGGGCATCATCTAATGTCCACTGCTGATGGAGGAGGTCAGAGATCGCTCCCCACAGCTTTCGGTCTGCGGAGAGCAGCTCCTGTGTGTTGACCGTGCGGAGACCAAGATGGGCCTTGGGCTGCGTAAGGCAGAGGTCGGCAATCTTTTTGTCAAAGGCCTTGAGATTTGACAAGTGTGCTGCCTGGCAGAGTGCCAGGGCATTGCGGAAGACGGTCTGGATGCGCACGAGCCAGCCTGCTGAGAGCGAATGGTGTTCGACGGACACCTTGGGGGTGTCATCGAAGAGGGCTTGGCTAATGAGCTGCAGCTCAGATCGGACTGCTTTAGTCGACTTGGCCTTCATTCGCTCTTGATACTGGCGGGCTGAGAGGCGAAATTGCCAGGGCACCCATTTGAGCGTCTGTCCCGGTTTGAGCGCTTCGTGGACCAGGCTCAAAAGACGAATCGAAGGCGTGGGATAATTGGTCTTGAAGGTACATAAGATTGTACACCCGATCGGCCGTGAGTTTCGGGGGCAGGTGTTCTGTCGTGGCTGCACGCTCGAGCTGCCGGTGCCCAATTTGAGACTTGCCCAAAAAAGCAACCCGCCAACGCCAAGCAAGGGACGTCAGCCTTGCTTCAACCTGGCACGCTCACATGTTTGAGATTGGAGACTTGCCTCAAGCCCAGCCCAGCAACCATCCCTGTCCTGCGCATCGCCTTGCCTTGCCTCGCGGATTCCCGCGTCAATTGGTCCTACGACGCCAGAACCTGTCCATGCCTGAATCGCCACTTGACCAGCTCTGCTGCTTGCAGACGCTGCGGGCCTGAGCAATTACCCTCCAACCAATTGACGGAACCTGACATTTGGCGGATCCTGGTTTGGACCATTATCTTTTGAAGGGACCATTTCCCTGCCGGTTCCATGTTGATTGGGGAGAGGGTTTGCTATGGCCCATGGCTCTCACAAAAACAAACACAAGACAAACACCTGTGGTGGATGTATGAGTTTGAATGAGTTGTGTCGTTGTGTGCTGGGAGTTCAAGTGCAAACAAGCACTGCGTGGGCGACGAACACAGTATAAAGCAACATTCATGAGGAGAGCTCAGTCAAAGAGGACCCTCTTGCGGCTGTCGGCAACACACCTGACACCATTCCCATTCGTCCCTGACGTCGGTGAAAACCAGCGC